CTGTGGGATGACTTCTTTTGCATATATGGCTTTCCTAAACACATTAATTTAGATCAAGGAGCAAATTTCGAAAGTCTTCTCATCAAAGAACTTCTGGAAATGGCTGGCATACAAAAATCTCACTCTACACCATACCACCCGATGGGGAATGGCATCATTGAACGTTACAATAGAACCTTAGGAAACATGATACGTGCACTTCCTCCCCAGTCCAAGGCAAGATGGCCTCAGATGCTCAAAATGCTAACATTCTGCTACAATTCCATGAAACAACTGGATTTGCACCGTTTTTCTTTTTGTTCGGCAGGATCCCGCGCCTGCCCATTGATGTGGTTTTCCAGCATGCTCAGTCAAATGGCCCAGTTGTAGACCATCATGAGTTTGTCTCCCGCCTCAAACATGACCTCTCTGTGGCTGCCCGCATTGCCCGACAAAACAGTTAATCAGAACAAGCCCAATGTACTACAACCACAAGGCTAAAGGTTCTCCTCTCGATGTGGGTGACAGAACTTTGGTTGCTAATCGTGGTGAGCGAGGGAAGAGGAAGATTGCAGACAAATGGGAATCAACAGTATATGAAGTGGTGTCTGTGAAGCCTGATATCAATGTGTATTGCATCAGAGACCCTGTCACATCAAGGACAAAAGTTCTCCACAGAAATCTTCTCCTCCCTGTCAATTGTCTCACTGCCGTTTCTGAAGATGCGGACAATTCCTCTTGCCCTTCCACAGCAGGAAGTGGACCCTCTGACCCTGTTGTGCCTGATGAGGTACAGGACAATGAAACTAAAACTGTGAACTGGCTTTTGCAGATGGACGAAAATGGTTGCATGGATGAAGTTGTAAATCACCCTGACTGTGCTTCTGACATTCCAGTATGTGGTTCTTCAGTGACATTGTGTTTCTTGACTCAGGTGACGTGACCAAGGATTTATCTGAACCTCATCTCCCTGAATCTGTTGCACTGTCAAGCTCTCCTGAACCAGTTTCCAACCTTACAACTGCAGCTGTCCACTCTGAGCTCATTCAGCATGATCTTTCAGCTGAACATAGTAGTGACACAAAACTGGACTTGCCTGTAACCAGGGATGAAAGTAAGGGGGTACGGCCGGGTACCGATACCCCTAAAAGATTTAGCAGGGGTTCGCAGTACCTGCAAGAGAGGAGCGGCTGTAAAGAATCAATGGGTTCACTGTGCAGCCGTGACTGATTCGTTTTTCAAGAACAATCTAAAACACAACCTAATCAGTTAATAAATAACTTTTTTCCCATTTCATGTTGTTTCTGAACTGTTCGTGCTTTGCTGTAGTAAAGCACGAACTACCCTCGTAGTTTTTGCAGGGTTGCAATATGTCGATAGTGGAAGGTTTTGAGTCGATCTCAGCATTAGGTGACAAACTGAATGCTGCTGAGACCAGCAGGTCCTCCTCTGATTGGCTTATCAAAAGGTTCAGAACTTTATTAAAGAACAACAACAAAAAATCAACAAAACGTGTTCAAATTAATGACCCAACAACAATAATAATCTGTGATTATTGTTTCAAGGTGTTGCACAATTCTGAGCGTTTCGGTTCCATTACCAAATTAACGAGCAGAGCAGGAGTTTAAATGAACTCATCAACCACCGCTGTGTTCAGGGAGGTTTATTAATGACGCAAAATAAATATCAAACCTGGAAACCTGATATCATAACGGACTGAATGTTTTTAATGTAATCTCTGGTCGGCTTGTGGAGCAGGAGGTTGCCATGGCAACGGGTGGGCTTAAATGACAAAGAGAGA